TAATCATTATTTCTCTCATTTCCTTATTTTTTATTTTTAAATGATATAATTTATAGTAAATTAAACTATATAAAATAGTTAATAAAATGAAAATTCAAATACTATTCATTATCTGGATCAATAAAAGGTTCTGCATACAAGTCGTCTTCTTTCTGTTTGTTTCTTAACTGATTTAATTCAGCAATTACCTCAATGAGATAGAAGACAAAAAATAATAATTGAAAAAGAAGATTAGAGAAGGTAGATTTTAATAATTTTTCATAACCAACACCTGTTAAACTATAACAAGTTTCTTGAGAGTCTATTGATGAACCACACCCATATAACTTTAAAGTTTTCCATCCACAACAATTATTCTAATTTTAATGAATATTTAAATAAAATAATTAAAAAAAAAAGAAGAAAAGATAAAAAACAAACTTCATATTCAATAGTTATCATATTATCACTTCCCATTGTATCTAAATAGTCAAATCTAATTGATGTTATTCCATAGAAACTTGTTATAATGAATAATAAGAAAGTTGATATTATAACACCGACTAATAATAATATAAGAAAATATTTACCTCTTACACTAAATGCAATAACACCAAATAGTCCAATGAAAATTTCACAAATCCCTACAATAACATTTGTTAATAAAAACATATATTTTGATGGTAATTTTTTTGAAGGTTGCTGTGTTGTTCCATTTGAATAAATTGTTGTTCCTATAAAAATAGAGTATAATGCCATAAAAATTATTAGTAAAGAAAAATAAACACGAGGAGTAATTCGTTGATGTTCTCCCATTATATTATAATAAACTAAAAATTAAGAATCTTAAAAACTTTTTTAACAAAAAAAAATAATAAAAATAAAAATTTATGTTATTAAAAATGTTATTAAAAAATGTTATTAAAAAACTAAAAAAGAAAAACAGAAGAAATCAAAGAAAAAATGAAGTATAGTGAATTGATCAATAAAATATGTTGGGGATTAAAAATATATTTTGCGTATGGATTTTTAATGTCAATTTTCATACAAATTACAGTACTATTAATTATTAATGTTATTATTTTACCAACATATATTTTATATCGCCCAATATATCAATGGATATTTCAAAGAGTAACAGAAGTATATATGATGTATTTTCCATTAGTATTTTATTATATTAATGGTAATAGACTTTATATTTCTGGTGATAAATTCATTGAAAATGTTAATGCTATTTGGATTAGTAATCATAGTCATTGGGTTGATTTTATTCCAGTTTGTTTAGTTGCTCCAAAGTGTGGTAGAATTGGTGCAATGAGATATTTTATGAAAGATGATATAAAAAAGATTCCTTTCATTGGGTTTGGCTTTTATATGATGGATAGCATTTATCTTAAAAGAAACTTTCAATTAGATCAACATCACATTAATGAAACATTTAAACGTTTTAGAAACAAGTATTATCCTTTCTGGCTTATTATCTTCCCAGAAGGTACTCGTGCAAAACCTGAAAAAATTGTTGAAGCACAAAAATATTGTTTAGAACATAAATTACCTATTTATAATAACGTATTAAACCCAAGACATACAGGACTTTTTGTTGCATTAAAACAATTAAGAAATGTTGTCCCTTATGTTTATGATATTACTTTAGGTTATCCAAATACTGTGAGTTTAGCTTCTTGTTTCTGTCCTGGTGAAGGTGTTAATATTCATATGTATGTAAATCGTATTGACGTTAAAGAAATTCCGGAAGATGAGACTGAATTTAAACAATGGTTATGTACTATTTGGAAACATAAAGATGAATTAGTAGGTTATTATAAAGAAAATGGTCATTTCCCTGGAACTGAAGAATTATACCCATTAAAATTTACATGGGCAGACTTTACTGGTTATATGAGTCAAGAATGTTTTTCATTACCTTAACTCAAATGAGGATTTAATTTATCGTTAGATTAAGATTTTATTCATTTTTTTATAAATAATGAAAAACTCATTTTATTTATATCTAAAGAAGAATAAAAAAAGAAAAAATCTTAAAAAAAAGAGAAATTTCAGAGAAATGTCAACTAATCATGTCGTCAAAAAAACTGGTTGGCTTGTTAAAGAAGGAGGAAAATGGAAAAGTTGGAAAAGAAGATTTTTTGTCTTTGAACAAACAACGTTATCGTATTATAAAGACCAATTAGTTTGTTTTTTCATTTCTTTATATGATATATTCATTTTAAAAAGTCGAACAAGTATTTAGAAATAGTTATTTTCTAAAATGGGTGAAATACCTCTTGAATTAGCCACATGTATTGAACCAGTAAGAAGATATAAAAAACATGACTATGTCTTTAAAATTGTTACTCCATCCAGAACATATTACATTAATTGTGCTGATGAAAAAGATATGAATGATTGGATTAGTTGTTTAAAAGATATATCTGATAGGATTAATGTATCATTGGATGTTTGTTATTTAATAACAAGAAAATTGATGAGACTATTTATGATATAGAAGTCCGAAGATAAATGTGTCAATTCAGAAGATTTTGATATCATCTCACTTATTGGAAAAGGAGCATTTGGTAAAGTTTATTTAGTCAAAAACAAAGAAACACAAACACTATTTGCAATGAAAGTTATTCAAAAGAAACAAGTCATAGAACGTGATGAAGTACAACATTCCTTAGAAGAAAAAAATATTTTAGCAAAAATAAAACACCCATTTTTAGTAAATTTGTATTGTTCATTTCAAACATCTGTCAACCTTCACTATGTAATTGATTATTGTCCCGGTGGTGAATTGTATTCTCTAATGAAAAAAGAACAAACTATGAATGAAAAAAGAACAAAATTCTATGCTGGTCAATTAGTACTTGCTTTAGAACATTTGCATAATCAAGGTATTATCTATAGAGATGTTAAACCTGAAAATATTTTAATTTGTGCTGATGGGTATATCCGTTTAACAGACTTTGGATTGAGTAAAATGGGTATTTCTGATAATTCAAAAACAGCAACATTTTGTGGTACTCCAGAATATCTTGCCCCTGAGGTTATACAAAATGTTGCATATACTAATGCTATTGATTGGTGGGGATTAGGTGTTTTAATTTATGAAATGTTATATGGAACAGTACCATTTTATGATGAAAACATTCAACGATTATATCATAACATCTTATATAACCAAGTTACGTTCTTAGAACATACAGAAATTTCATTGGAATGTCGTGATATAATTTCTCAATTATTAAAGAAAAATCCTATTGAACGTCTTCATGAAACAGATGCAATTAAATCCCATCCTTGGTTTCACAACCTTCATTGGGATAATTTATTTGCTAAAAAAGTACTTCCAGATTATCTTCCTCAATTATCTTCACCTACAGACTTACGTTATTTCTATAATGAAATAACTGAAGAATCACTTTCCTTAGGAGGTGAGGCTGTATCAAACGAATTATTTACTGACTTTACTTACTCTACAACGCAAAATCAACTTTAATTTATTTCATTCATAAAAACGTTATATATTACATAAAAAAAAAACAAAGAAAATTCCAGATTGAAAGAAGATTTTATTAGAAGTGAAAAGAAGATGTAAAAGAACTAATAAAATAAGTATAAACAACGATGTTAGTATTAGCATTAATTAGTTTAGTTAGTGCAAGCACTTATTACTCTGTACTTCATAAGTCTGAGGGAATATATAAAGTAGTTCCTGGTAGATTTGCAGATGCTTGTGCTATTGGATATTATGATGATACTATTCAAACAACAGGATGGGGACAATTATATATAAGAAGTAATTTCAAATTAGCAGAGACTGAACAATCTTATTGTTCAGGATATTTAGAAGCATATTTAACACATCACTATATGTATTTGTATTGGACTAATTACAAAGCAAATGAATATGAAAATGGTCAACCATCTAATACATTAATTAATAAAATGCAAGAACAACTTGATTTCTTTAAGACAGAATCATCAACTAATACTAATGAATATTGGAGAAGACAAAAAGTTATTAAATACCAATTTAATGGATTAGTAGATGGATATATGGCAGCATCTCCTGCAGAAGAAGAACTTCCAGAAATTGAACTTTATATGTTACTTTCAGTTGGAGACTTAGAAAATTTAAATGAGATTTATAAAACAGGAAAAGAACCAGAAACATCAATTGTTTATATGAGAAAAGCATTTCCTGATAGAATTTATCATGAGTGTAGTGCATTAGTTCGTGCAGTAGGAGATGAGGTTTATTTTTCACATGGAACATGGAGAGGATATTATGCAATGTTGAGAATTTATAAAGTTTATGATTTGTTTTATGGAGGAAGAAGACTTAAAATGAGTTTCTCATCATCACCAGGACTTATTCATTCAAAAGATGATTATTATACTGTTAATGCAGAAGATACACAATTATTTGTATCAGAAACAACAAATTCTGTTTATGATTCTAGTGTTTATGAAGATATTAATGATAAATTACTCTCATGGCAACGTATTTTATCTGGTCTTTATTATGAAAGAACAGCAAAAGAATTTGTTGAATTAATTAAGGATTATAATTCAGGTACTTACAATAATCAATGGATTGTCTTTGATGTAAACGCATGGAAAAAAAATAAAGCTGAATCATTATTCATTTGTGAACAAATGCCTGGATTAATGAAGTCTCACGACGTTACTGAATATTTAACTTCAGAAGAAAAACAAAATATGTGGCCTTCATATAATGTTCCATTTGATAAAGAGATTTATTCTAAATCAGGGTATCCAACTGATCATGATGAATACACTTCTTGTAGTCGTGCTAAAATTTTTAACAGAGACGTTAAAAATGTTCAAACTTTAGAAGATATGAAACATATTATGTTATATAACGATTACCAAAATGATGAATTTTCTAAAAATGATCCAAAAGAATCTATTGCTTCTCGTTATGATCTTCGTGTTGATAGACCAAATGCTTTTGGAGCTATTGATGCTAAAATAGTTTCTACTTCAAACCCACATATCACTTATGCCATTTCAGGACCAACTCATCAAGGACAACCAGTTTTTGAATGGACTGAACAATTTAAAAATGTTCATGTTGGAGTACCAGAAAAATTTGATTTTGATTGGGTGGAAATTAATGACAGGCAATAATCACATTTTTTTTATTTATATTTTTAATCTTTTAATTTTATAACTTATTATTTATATTGCTTCTTGTCATGACAAAGTTACCCCATTTCAAGTTGATCATCTTCTTCTATTTTGCATGGTCCTATGCGTTTACTCAAAATTTCAAATTTGTTTCGATAAAACAAGCTGATCAATGTGATGGAATTGAATGTAACACATATGACAAGTTCTCATTTAAAAGTAATTATTTAGACTGTTCAAATGATTCAGGAACAACACTCTTTGATGACTTGACATTTGATTTAACTCTTCCGCCACGAGCATTTATTACATCACAAGAACTTTTGATGAATGTTTCAACATATTATGATGTATATAGTCCACCAACTAAATTTGCATTATTAATTAATAATAATCCAACTCAATTCACTATATCATCAGAAACATGGAATGATGAATGTGAGTCATGTGTAATTAAGAAGGCATTTGTTCTTTCACCATTTGGAAGAACTTTTATCAATGGAACTAACTCAATGAAACTAATTGGGTATTCCAATCTTGTTTGTGTAAGTGAGATAGAAATTAACATATCATATCGTATTCTTTATCCTGTAATTACTCGTATAATTCCTAGCTTAGGTCCTATTGAAGGAGGAACAAATGTTTCAATTATAAGTAAATTAATGTATCCAGAGTATCGTTATTTGTGTTGTTTTGATGAAGAATGTAGTCCAATGTTACCAACAAAAGACGAAGAAGTAGGAACATGTTTATCACCAGAAGGATTAAAGAAAGGTGATTCATTTATTTCAGTGAGATTTCGGGATTTTGGAATTGATGAGCATTATGTTGTAAATAAAGATATTGTGTTTACTTATTACAATATTACATTAGTAAATGCATCAATTATAGAAAATGTTGGGAGGTATTATTTAATGATTGGATGTGAAGGAATGGTAACAACAGAAGGTGCATTATGCAAAATTACTGATAAAGAGAATTTAATAAATTCAACAATTTTAAAAGGAAAAGTTCAAGGTGGAAATGTGATTTGTATTTTCCCTGAAACATTTGATATTGAGGAAGAAGAAGGAAAAACATATTTAATAACAATTTCTATTAATCTTATTGATTATTGCAAACAACAACTTGAATTTGTTATTCATGATGATTCACCACATGAATCACGTAGTTATTTAACTGTAGTAGTTGTTGTTATCTTTGGAATATTATTGGTTGGAGTTGTTATAGGATTTTTAATATTTAATAAAGCAAAAAAGAAAACTGAAGATGGAGAATATATAAATCCAGATGAAGTTGTATTAGAAGAAATTATGGGATCAGGAAGTTATGGAGATGTTTATTCTGCATTATGGAGAGGACAAGAAATTGCAGTTAAGTTAATTCCAACAAAAAATATGTTACATGACAGTGTTCTTCAATTTACAAAAGAAGTTCAATTAATGAAAAAATTAAGACATCCGTGTGTACTTCAATTCTTTGGAAGTGGGACAGATGCTAATTTTATTCTTATTGCTATGGAACTTATGAGAAGAGGGTCTGCACATACACTTTTAATGAACAAAAGTCTTCCAATCAATTGGGAAAGAAGATTAAGAATGTTAAAAGATGCAGCAAGTGGAATGTTTTATCTTCACTCATTAACGCCACCAATTATTCATTTGGATTTAAAGTCTCATAATTTATTAGTTGATGATAATTGGAAAGTAAAAGTAAGTGATTTTGGATTAAGTATGACATCAATAGAAGGTCTTCATTCAAATTCTGTTTGTGGAACATTAGCCTGGACAGCTCCAGAGATGCTTAAAGGAAAACCAGTAAGTACAAAAGCTGATGTATATAGTTATGCAATTGTTATGTGGGAATTCTTAGCTCGAGCTGATCCTTATCCTGACATTCCAAGATTCCATTTAATTGAAAAAGTAGGAGAAATTGGAATTAGACCTGACATTCCTCAAAATAATCATATAGCATATTGTGAACTTATGCAACGATGTTGGGAAACTCGTCCTGAAGATAGACCTGATTTTTCTGAAATATTGGTTTACTTAGATGAGTTTATTAAAGAAGAAACAAATAAAAATCTTATTTCAGAAACACCTTCTATTTATGAAGAGGATGAAGATTAATTTATTGCTTGTCATAATAATACTATTTTTATAATTTTTGTTTAATAAAATTATTTCATGATTTTTTTTGATAGAAAAAAATCTTAAATGATTATAAGATAGTTTATTTTTATTAAAAATATAATAAATATATAGTAAAAAAAAAGAACTTAAAAAAGAAAAAAAAGAAAAAGTAAGATTTTAATGTCTTGCTGTGGAACAAACCATGATGAATTGATTGATATCAAAAACGATGAATCGCGGACATTACCTCTTTCTCAACAATTATCAAAAGGAATTAAAATCGTTGTTCTTGGTGAAATGGCAACTGGAAAAACTTGTATTTTACATAGATGGATAACAAATGAATTTACAAACCAAACAGCTACTGTTGGGTGTGCTTTTAATACAAAAACAATAACTTATAAAAACAAAATCATCAAATATGAAATGTGGGATGCCGCTGGACAAGAACGTTATCGCTCATTATCACAAATTTATTATCGAGACGCTACAGTTGCACTTCTTGTATATGATATTACTCGTTTAGTTTGTTGTTAGAAACTCTCAAATATTAATTGAAATAAATAAGTCAAAATATTAATTGTTTGTAGGAAACGTTTAATGCAGTAACTGATTGGGTTGCTGAATTAAAACAAAACACTTCTAATAATGTAATGATTATGATTGTTGGTAATAAGTCTGACTTAAAGTCTTCTCGTCAAGTAAATTCTACTTTAGTCAATGAATTTATTCATTCATCTAATTCAAATATCATTGGAAATATTGAGTGTAGTGCTATGACTGGAGAAAATATTTCTGTTATCTTTGACATTATATCAGATAAATTATTGTCCTTATGCTAAAAACATGTTTTAATTTATTTTTTTTTGTTATTTTGTGATTTTGATACAATCTCCAGATATTAATTTAAAAAAGGTTCAATTTATTTTTTATAATAAAATGACAATACCTCAATCTTTGGAATTTAAATGAATAAAATTCTGGAGAAAGAAGAGAATCTACAAAATGTAAATCATGGGAATTACTGGACTAAAAGGTATTGTAAACACTGTCTGCAGAAAAAGGACACTTAAAGAATTAAAAGGAATTCGTGTTGCGATTGATGGATACGCTTGGCTTCATCGTGCTTCTGCTTCATGTTCTGAAGAACTTTGTGAAAATATTCCAACAAATGGTTTATCTTCGTTTTGTGTGAAAGGGGCATTGACATTACTTAATAATGAAATTACTCCAATCTTTGTTTTTGATGGAGCTCGTTTGCCATCAAAAATTACTACTGAAAATGATAGACAACAAAAAAGAAATGAGAATTTAAAAACTGCACGGGATACTACAATTAGTATTACCGAAAGAAAAAGGGCATACGGTCAAGCTGTTGAGATACTTCCTTGGATGGCAAGTGCAGTCATTCAAAGTTTAAATGAAATTGGTGTTGAGTCTATTGTAGCTCCTTTTGAAGCTGATCCACAATTAGGTTATTTATGCAAAATAGGATATGTCGACGCTATCATTTGTGAGGACAGTGATCTTATAGTTCATGGATGCAAAAGAATTCTATTCAAATTCAATAAATTCGATGAAACAGTTGAAGAATTTTTGTCAAGTGAGTTAGACAAAACTGATTTCAAAGGTTTTACAAGAAATATGTTAGTGTATTCTTGTGTATTAGCTGGGTGTGATTATTGTAAAAATATTTCAAAGGTAGGTATTAAAAAGGCAATGAAAATTATTAAATCTGAACCATCAATCTCAAAGGCATTGGTTAAACTTATTGAGACTCATGGAACTGAACTCGATACAAAGGAAAAGAAAATTGAGTATTTAACAAATGTTAGAAATGCTATATTTACATTCAATTATGCTTATGTTTATAATCCAGTTGACCAAGAAGTTGTCAATTTAAATGAAGTTCCTGAAGAATTAAGTTGTATGGTAGATGAGCTTCTTGGAATAAAACCAAATAAACAAGTTGCACAAGATATAGCAAATGGAACGGTTGATCCAGACACTCACAAACCATTCGAGCAATTCATTGACCCGAATTTATTTGAAAAAGCAATGAGCTTGAACACAGTATTAACTTCTTACACATCAGGGTCAATAAAAAAATTTCATCAAACAGAACCATCATTCAATTCGTATGAATTGGATAACTTGGAATTATTTGATGTTTTTGAAATTATAAGAAATGAAAACAATAAAACAATAAGGTCAAGAAAATCAATATTACAAAAATATGACTCTGAAGAAGATTTTAATGAAAATGAAAACGCTGGAATTGTGACTATGAAACAACCACGAAAACGTTCAAAAAATCAACCTAAACCTATACTAAGCATGACCAATCTTAACTTTAAACCAAATCTTAAAACTTCTTTTCCATTAACTGATGAAGAGCTTCAAACAATCAAACCAAAAAGAAAGATTGAAAACAGTTATATTTCTTCTGACTTTGATTTATTTATTCCAAGTTTCGATATGTATTATATGATTAACCAATTAAAGTGAAGTTTTTCCCAAATAATTTTACCACTTTTTGTTCTTATTTTTGTTTTTGTTGATGAAAATGAACAAAAGATTGATAAAGAAAAAGAATAACATTAGCAATTAACTGAAACATAGTAAAAAAGAACTATTAATTTAATAATTTGTTG